GGGCTGCTCTTGCCGAAGCTCGCCATGAACTTCTTGCCGCTGCTGGAGCTCGAGCCTGGGCCTCTGCCACTGCCCTTGCCGCCAAACTTGCGGTCCTTACGAAGCTCCTTCACGCGCTTCTTGCTCTCCCGCACCGTGATGAAGCCCTCCATCATCGACTCCACGCCGCTCTCTAAGTTCCCGGGCTTCTGGGCCAACTCGGGATCATTCTCGGCCTCCTCGAGCACCGTCGAGAGCGCCTCCAGCTCGGCGGCGAGGGCGCCCTCGATGTCGTGATCCAGCTCGGTCGTCAGCACCTCATCCACCGTCTCGCCGGCGTCACCGTCTAAGCTGCCGAGCTCCGCATTCAGCGCTTCGAGCTCGCCCTCGTCTAGCTGACCGAGCCCGTCGAGGTCCTCCGTCACGTGTGCCTCCTTGAACTTCCGAATCACCTTCTTCTTCAAGAGCTACGTCCCTGGGCGGTTGAAGGTGATCGGCCTCCTGCTGCGGTCGAACGCGAGCGGTCGTCGTTCCGCGACGTGCTGGTTGGGGAACACCCGCATCACGGTGGGAACCACCTCGCGAATCTCCATACTTCCGCCAGTCGAGGTCATCAACATACTCTTCTGAGTCTCGTTCAGGCCGGTCTTCTTGATGAGCCACCAACCCGCCTTCCTCGGCGGCAGGGCTACGTCTTCCTCGTCCAACTGGCTGCGGGCCCCACCGAACCTGATCATCCACGAGTTCAGATCCCTGCTTGTAAAAGTAATTCATCACCTGGCCCCTGCGCGTCGGCTCGCCCACCCCCATCGTCGCCAGCAATTCCATCAAGCCGTCGATGCCCGCCATCAGGTCAGGCTCCTGCCAGTGGCCACGCTCTTCTTCGTCGTGATCCCCACTCTCGGCTGCTTCAGCAGCCGCCTGTGAACTCACCTCCTTGGGGATCCACATCCACTGCTTGGGCCGCAGCTCCACCATCGGGATGGAACCGCCGAGCGTCTTTGTCGGGCCCGTCAGGCACCGAGCCGCCCGCGCCGCCCAGCTCCAGCTCACGTCCAGATTGACGCCTTCGATCCATAGCGCCACGTCCTTCTTGCATCTCCTCCAGCGCGACGGACTGCCGTCCCAGTGGGGATGCCCTCCAGAGCGCGGCTTGGCCACGCTGGCGCTGCTATCCAACTCGTCGAGGAGCGCTGAGTCCATGAAGCTCCTCTGCGTCCGCTCGACCGCGGAGGAAGCGCATCTGGCGAGAGCGTGCCGCCGCCCATCGCCGGATAGCGCTCTGGGGCTGATGCCTGCCGCATCGCTCCCGTCGTCGCACTCCGTGCACACGTCCAGGTAGTTCACGCTCTCGATGTCCACCACACACTCGTACCGAAACTCTCCACGTAGATCTGATTTTGCCCTCGGCCGATGGCGCCCGCGCGGCGGCGAGCTCCGCTACCGCCGCGGAGCCGGGTTGGGCCTCCTCTTGACCTCTCGATCCCGCAGCGGGGGTCGGCGGCGGAACCCGCAGGGCTCGAGGTGAGGGTGAAACCCCTTTTCCAGTCCTGCTACCAGGAACCAACTCGCCTCAAGCCGGCTCGAACCGAGCCGGCAGCAGTGAGAGAGAGAGAGAGAGAGAGAGAAGAGAGAGAGAGAGAGAAGGGAAAAAGAGCACCTAAGGGGCTTAAGGGCAGAGCAGGGGGCATATCCAATCCGAGGGGCATGTTTTTCCACACCAATTGCCCAGGCAGTGCATCTCGCAGTGGCTCGCAGCCTGGCTGTCGGAGACTCGGCTGCGGCGGTCTATCGAGTTGGCGTGGCCCAAGGCTGTGTCTCATCTTCGCGCTCTTCCTCGGGGACAGCGAGTGGGACATGTACGGCGCCCCATGGCCACGGTGATCCTGTATCTTCTCGAAGCTGGGTGGTCGCCCAACCTCCGACAGATTGGGGCGTACCGAATGATGCCTGGCAATTCGACAGCAGTGATTTCGAGGCGCTGGACCAGCCCACCCCTCCCCTGGACGAGTTGCAGCGGACATTCGAATGGAAGCAGTGGCAGGAGGCCTCTACTTTGTTCTGTGGTCCTGGTCTGGAGGCGGGCACCGACATGATTTCGCTGAGGGCCATGATGGCCGATTTTTTACATGTTCGGAGGGCAGACAGCTGTCAGAGCTGCTCGTCACGGTGGCGACGGGCGGCTTCTGGCCGAAGGTTCGCAGCCACGAAGCAGGGTTGCGAGCTGATGACGTGTGCGATCGGTGTGGGCTGGAGCGTGACACAGCCCTGCACCGCTGCTGGACATGGTCAAAAAATGCAGGTTCGCGGGCTTTTGAATGATCCAATGATATCCTTCCACGTGCTGTCGCGGAATCTGAAGCTGTTCCATGTTTTTGGATGAGGGGCATCATCCCAGCGGCTTGGATCTCCATTCAGCCTCCGCCGTCTGTCGAGGTGATCTCGGGTGGCGGTTTTGGGAATGATGGGCTCTGCGAGGGCTGTCTTGGGACAGGGACCTCGGATGAGCCCCGGGTTATTCTCGGGGGTGCGTCTGGGGGTCGTGACACGTTCGGCCCCCGTTTGCGCCGAGTAAGCATAGGTATTGCTACTTTCACCGCTTTTGCTCCCCTTGCTCTCGGGCCATTCCTCATGGGACCCCTCACTGGAGTCGCCCAGAGCGTCCCCATGGGCGTTCTGTTGTACATTACAGATTGTGACGAAGTCGTTCGCGGCTGGTACGCCGAACTTTTCCGCTGACCTCAAGGGCCCCAGTCAGACATCTGGCGGGAGATTGGGCGGCTTTTGATTTCTCAGGGCCGTTCGCCTGCGTGCATTGTTGTTGTGCAAATCCCGTGTCATTTGTCAGGTGCTGAAGTGCTAGAGCGAGGGCTCCCCTCATGGCTGGTGCTCGGGTATTCGCGTGTGGATGCCATTGCTGGTGAGACCGCCTCGCTCGCGAGGGTCTCGCCTGAGGATCGCCACAAAATCCACACCGTGGAGCATCACGCCCGTTTGGTTCGGAGGAGGCTGCTGCACGTCAGCCTAGATTCAATTCGAGCGTCCCAGATGTCTAGCCACCGAAGAGAGCGGGGCGACCGAAGGGTCCCTCCTCCCCTCCCTCCTCCTCCAATTGCTCTTGCACGCTTCGCGTCCGCACATACCCTGACCGAGAATGGGAGGGCGTGCAGCGTGTGTAGGGGCTCTGCGACAAAGGCGGCGTTGTCCGACTGGCTAAAAGATGAATGCTTCCAACTCCACTTGTTGCATAATGAATTGTGTAAGGTTCCTCGGGGGCGGCGTTTACACTTGGCTGGTGGTTGGACTCATCCCTCACACGCCTTGACATATCATAAAAACCTTGAACTTTGGTTTTGCAGCAAATGTGGTTACGTTGGCCAGGCCCAGCGCGGGGGCCTGGGGGAACCGTGCAAGCTTCCAATTTCCAAAGCCAGGCGCGAGTATCTAGACAGGATTGCTCGCGGTTTATCTCCTAAGAGCTGAGCTTTCAAGCCTTGTTATCACTACGTGATGGCGGAAATCCTGGAAATCCTGAAATCCTCCTACTCCTCCTCCTTCTCCTCCTCCTCCTCCCTCCCTCCTCCCTCCTCCATCCTCGCTCATTTCTCCGCCCTCCTCTCTCCTCCTCCTCCTCCCACTTCCTTCCTCCTCCTCCTCCTCCTCCTCATCTTCCTCCTCCTCCTCCTCCTCTTCCTCCTCCTCCCCCTCCTCCTCCTTACTCCTCCTCCCTCCCCCTCCCTCCTCCTCCTCCTCCTCCTCCACCTCCTCCTCCTCCTGGTCATTCCCTCCAATTTCTCTCCGGCACAATACACATTCTGCGTTTGAAAGGATGCAGGGGTCCCAGAGAGGGAACACGAAAAAACATGTCGAGTCTCCAGCCCTGAGAGGCCCCCAGGAGGCCCCAAGAGGCCCCCAAGAGGCCCCGTAGAGGCCCCCAACAGGCCCTCAGGAAGCCCCTCTCACTCGTCCTACGTCTTCTCCGCCTCCACCTCCTCCAACTATCTGTCTCTCCCGCTCACGCTCTCCATCCAATAGCCTACCCCCACACACAAGCCCGGGAACACACTGCGAGAAGAGGGAGAAGGTAAGAAGTGGCGAGCTTCGGGAGGTAGACAGCGCACAACAGGACAAGAACAACCACAATGATCGCATTCAAAGCCCGCCACCCTCGGACACGAGGATTCCATCTTCGCATCAGATGCCCCCCCCATCGACAAGCCCCAGAGTGAGCATCCACGACCAGCACACCCCCAAGAAGGCATTTAGAGCTTTCCGCCCTAAGGAACACCTCCGAGACCACCACCAAACCCCAAGAAGCCCCCGAACGGCCCCAAGAAGCCCCCAGGATGCCCAAAAACAAGCCACCCGGGCCCCCAAAACAGCCCCCAAGAGACCTCAAGAGGCTTCAACACTGCCTCCAAGAGACTCCCGAAACGCCTGCCAAGAAAACCCCACCAACGTCGCATTGACAACGATCCCTCGGGCGAACAGCAAAGAGAGGCTATATGGGCCGGCGGAATGAGCGAAGCGATCAAATAAACAGCTCACTTTCCGAAGCAGAATTTTGATCGCCTCCACTTAATATCCAGATGCGGATCCAACTTCGTTTTCTGCGTCAGTCCTCCTCCTCCTCCTCCTCTTCCTCCTCCTCCGTCTCATGTTTGCATCCCTCCTCTTGCGTCCTCCCCACTCCTTCACCCCCTTTTCCTCCTCTTCCACCGACATGAGCCGCCACCGTAGTCGCCTATTTCGTCTTGACCAGCTATAGCGACGATTCCCTCAACAGCTTCTCCTCCTGTCCCTCCTCATTCTCCTCCTCTTGCTCCTCCTCCGCCTCCTCCTCCTCCTCTACCTCCTCCTCCTCCTTCTCCTGGCGCTGCAGGCGCTGGGTCCGACCATTCTACCCTGATCCCCAACATCCTCCTCGTCTCCATTCTCATCCTCGACCTCGTCCCCGCTTTCCTCCTTTTCCTCAATCGCTTCCTTGTCGTTTGTCCTTCTCCTTTCCCTGCTCGTCTCCCTCCTGCTCCGCCCCTGTCCTCCTTGCCATCCTCAACGCGGGAGGAGTGACTGGGCGCCCTTCTGTCCTGAACCAGAGAAGGGGACACATTCATAACTGTTTCGGACACCTCTTCTGTCTGGACTTTCGTGCCGCCTCCAGCGGGCATTCAATCCGCGCAGCCTGGGTCTCATTCCGCGCAGCCCGGGCACGACGCGATAAGCGCGGATGTCCTTGCACACGTGGACAATACTCTTACGCCCAACATGCGCACCAGTGCTGTCCATTACCAGACAGATGACGGGGGTATAGCGGGGAAAACGCATGCGATCACGAATGCAAAGACGAACGCGTTCTTCACAACACGGCCCCTCGGCTCCCATTGATTCGGGATCGCTCAAAAAGCAACTGTGCGACATGAAGGCGGGCAACAAGAACGCGCGCGCTGCAACGCTCTGAGGTCCTGCATGCACGCAGCTCAGAACTCGTCCTTCATCGCCCTCTTCTTCTCCCTGTCGGATAGGACGGCCATCGCCAGGCGGAGACCAGACTCCTTCACCTCATAAACGGCCTTCTCCTTCTTCCGGCGGATCTCGGAATGGTGAAATTCGAAGTCCGAGCGCATGGCCCGCAACTTTCCCTCGGGCACGTTGCCCTTCCCTCCGTGCTTCTCAGTGTCCCTGCGGTAATTGGCCTGCAGCTTCTTCTCGCCCTTGTCGAAATCAGCCAGGGCCGCCTTGATCTTCTCTTCCGCGGCCGATATCTTGCGCTTGAGCTCCGCATCGTCGAGGCCCTGGATCCTGGCCAGCATGGCCGCCTGCTTCTCGTCGCAGGCGCCTGGTCTGTCGATGCCGCAAAGGGGCTTCAGGTTCTCGTCGGTGAAGTTCTTCAGTTCCTCGAACGCCCGACGCGGGATGGAGACATCGTCCAAGTCGTTGGGGTTACCCCACTTGATGGTGGGGAAGCCCGCCTTGCCGTGCTGGGAGCAGAGGCGCCCCGTGCCAGCGCCCTTGTCGCAATTGACCTCGACAAGCTTCGTCTCGTCCCGAAATCGGCCTTCTGAATGCCAATGCGCGGTCAACCGCTCCCAGTGCGGCTGCAACGTCTTGCAATGGGAACAATCCGTGGTGTAGAACTTCACCAAGACGACCTTGCCCGAGGTTTCCCTCTCCCAGTCCGCATCCGTGACCTCCACCGCCACCGCCGCCAGAAAGAGAAGACCACACAAAACGGGCACCAGGGACGTCATCGCGGGGGGGCACCTCTTGCCACCCTGCCCGGCGAACTGCGGGGGTCCTCAGACGCTTGCGCCCAGATGGCTTGAGCAAAATATTGCAACGTACTCTTTGTTCCCAACCATCCTGTGGTGTTGGGTCCTCGTTTTGAACAGACGTTCCCCGCGTCTCCTCCTCCTGCACCTCCCCCTCCCCCTCCCCCTCCCCCTCCTCCTCCTCCTCCTCCTCCTCCTCCTCCTCCTCCTCCTCCTCCTCCTCCTCCTCTCCCTCTCCTCTCCTCTCCTCCTCCTCTCCTCTCCTCTCCTCCTCTCCTCTCCTCTCCTCTCCTCTCCTCTCCTCTCCTCTCCTCTCCTCTCCTCTCCTCCTCCTCCCCCTCTTCCCTCCTCCCGTCACCCCCCGCACTTTGGCCACAGGGGGCTCCACCGAAGGCCCCAGTGGTTGCGTGCACATGCCGCCACCGCTCCACTTTGGCACACCCCTCATACTTTTCGTGGCCCCATGGGGGGATCCACAGAAGGCCCCAGTGGCTGCGTTCGCATGCCCCCCCTCCACTTTGGCACACCCCTCACACGTTTGCCCCACACGGGGCTCCACCGAAGGCCCCAGTGGCTGCGTTCACATGCCGCCACCATTCCACTTTGGCACACCCCTCACACGTTTCATGGCCCCATAAAAGGCTCAACTGAAGGCCCCAATGGCTGCGGTCAAATGCCGCCACCCCACAAATTTGGCATACCCCTCACACGTGTCGTGGCCCCATAGGAGGCTCAATAGAAAGCCCCAACGGCTGCGTTCAAATGCCGCCACCCCTCCACTTTCGCACACCCCTCTCACGTTTGTGGCCCCAAACGGGGCTCAACTGAAGGCCCCAGTGGCTGCGTTCACATGCCGCCACCCCTCCACTTCGGCAAACCCCTCACACGTTTCGTGGCCTCATAGGAGGCTCTACCGAAGGCCCAAATGGCTGCGTTCACATACCGCCACCCCTCCACTTTGGCACGCCACTCACACGCTTCGTGGCTCCATTGGCCACTGAAGGCCCCAATGGCTGCGTTCAGATGCCGCCCCCCTCCACGTTGGCACGCCCCTCACACGTTCGGTTGCCCCGTAGGGGGCTCCACCTAAGACCTCAGTGGCATGGTTCGCATGCGCTTCCCCTACCCAGTACAGCGCTTCGTGCCACAAGAAGGGGCCCGCCGAAGACCCCAGTGGCGGTGTCCGCATGCGTTTCCCACACCCAGCATTGCGTTTCGTGACCCCACAGCCGCCGAAAATCCTAAAGGCGGTGCCCGCATGTTTTCCCGTGCTCATTATACCGCTCCGTGGTCCCATCGGGAGCTCCATCGAAGGCCCCAGTGGCGGCGTTCGCATGCGTCTCCCCCACCCAGTACAACGTTTCGTGACCCCATCAGGAGCCTCACCCAAGGCCTCAATGGCGGTGTCCGCATGCGTGTCCCCCACACAGTACAATGTCTCGTGGCCCCACGAGGAGCTCCCCCAGTGGCGGTGTCCGCATGCGTGTCCCCCACCCAGTACAGCGCGTCGTGGGCCCATCGGGAGCTCCATCGAAGGCCCCAGTGGCGGTGTTCGCATGCGTCTCCCCCACCCAGTACAGCGTGTCGTCCACAGGGGGTTCCACCCAAGGCCCCAGTGGCAGTGTTCGCATGCGCCCCTCCCACACCACCTACCCAATACAACGTTTCGCGGCCCCATAAGGAGCTCCACCGGAGGCCCCAGTGGCGGCGTTCGCATGCGTCCCCCCACTTGGTACAGCGCTTCGTGGCCCCATAAGGAGCTCCACTGAAGGCTTCACTGGCGACGTTATCATGGCGGCCCCGCACCATTTCGGCACACCCCTCACACGCTTCGTGGCCCATGTGGAGTGCCACCGAATGCCCTTATGGCTGCGCCCGCATGAGTCCCCGCCCCATGTCGGCACGCCCTTTACACGCTTCGTGGCCCCATGAAGAGATCCACCGAAGGCGATGCCCACAACGGCGATACTCACAACTGCACATGGTTGGGCCCTTCGCCAGGCTAATCTTGTATACTTGTTGTGTTGTTTCTTTTTGTTGTGAGTGTTGACATTTAAGCCTGATGATGTAACCTGTCAACTTCCCAACTGATTGGGGAGGGACTCCACCATGCTAGAACAGGCCGGCGTGTAAGAGGAGAACGAGGAGGAGAACCGAGAAACGAAGTGCCAAACGCGGCCGACTAGCGTCTGGCAAGAACCACGAGCTGAACAAGCACAGCCCGACACGCAAGAAAAAACACCTACTCCGCAAGCCGCTCCAGCAGGGCGGGCAGGGCGGGCGAAAACCGAGGCTTGCCACGGCCAAGTAACAGAGCTACTCAATAGGGCGGAGCGTGCAATATGCAGAAGAGTTGAGGACCAACGACTGATCGTAACTAACTCTCAAAGGACGACGGCACAAGTCATCAAAGGAGCTCGAGTCCCGAACGACGTGAAACCAGCAGTGCACGACCGTGGTGGCGGTGACTAACAAATTACATGATACCAGAGAAAAACCCAATCATAATATTCTTAAGGGTAGGGCTATGGGGCTAAAGGGCTATGGGGCGATAGGGCTATCAGGCTATCAAGCTATATGGCTAGAAAGCTAGAGGGCTATAAGGCTATAGGGTTATAAGGGTATAAAGCTATGGAGCTATTAGGGCTATAGGGTTTTGAGGCTACTGGGGGTATAGGGCTATAAGGCTATAAGGCTCGAACATTCTAAAACTATAGGGCTACCGGGCGGGCACCCGGGCACCCCCGGGCACGCCCGGGCACCCGGGTACCCGGGAACCCCTAGGCCCCCGGGCACCCGGGCGTGCGGCGAAAATCGGCGGCGAACCTAACCTAACCAACCATATTAATCCGCTAGGACCCTTACAGAGGCAAGCTCTGATTGGGGAATAACAGTAGAGGAGGCGCAAACAAAGGGGGAAGACCGAAAGGAGATAGGGAATTGAAGAAATCCAGCGCGCAACGCGCCGCAACTGGAGGACACAATCCGCCGGCACCACATCGGTGACGCGGCGCGGACGCAGAGGATCGGCCAGCACATGGTCTGACGCGAAGGCAGGGCATGCAACAAAGCAACATTAGCCTGGCGAAGGACCCAACCATATGCAGTTGTGAGTAACGCAGTTGTGAGCATCGTCTTCGGTGGAGCTCCCTATGGGGCCACGGGACGTGTGAGAAGCGTGCCGAAATGGATGGAGAGAGACGCATGCGAGGAGGCTTTCGGTGGAGCTCCCTATGGGGCCACGAAACGTGCGAGGGGTGTGCCGAAATGGGTGTGGGGACCGCATGCGAGTACTGCCACTGCGGCGCGCACCAGGGGGGACAGCCCATGCTGCACAAGTGCACGTATTTCCACACAGGAAGACCAGAACCACGCGCGCGCTTCGCGCGCGCTTAGATTCTAGTCGACTCCGAAGACGGTGTCAATCTCCATGGGACCTTTTCCATGTGGTCTTCCGATTTCCTCACTTTCACCCATGCCTGATTCCTGTGCGGATGCTGCGAAGTTCAAGGGAGGGTTTGGCCTGTAGCGTACCAGCGACGACCAACGACGACGACGACGGAGCACCGACGATCAACATCATTGTCACCTGGTCCACGTGTGCGGGAGAGGCGGTTCCGGAGCGTCTTGCAGGCGTCATGGGGGCGTCCTCAGGCCTCGACATTGAGTGGGCGGGTCGGGGGGTGCATCCAGAGCCACGTGTTGCGAAGGGCTGTTCCGGAGCATGGAGGACGAAGGGTTTCTGGCGGGCTCCTGAGGATCTGTGTGGAGGCCTCCTGCGAGCTCGGTGGGGGTTTCTCGGCAGTTTCTCCGGTCTTTCTGTAGCCGTTCTGGGAGTCGTCGTGGAGGCCTCCTAGGAGTCTCCTGGGGCCTCCTGGGGGCCTCTTGGGGAAGAAAGCGCCTCTGTTCGGGCAGTTGGGGGGTTATCTGGAGCCTCCCGGGAATGTCTTGGGCCGTCGATCGCACCCCGTGGGCGAAAGATATGAGGCCCGCCGATGTGGATATCATCCTCGGGGTGGGGAGTATCTTTGATGCACCTATGCGACGCGACCTGCGCGGGCGCGGAAACAATCAAATCGCGAATCACTCTGAGCGACTCTTGCTTCGCTGTCTGGCGGCTCTTCTCGGAGCTATCTGCGCGCCATGCGCAACAACACCCAGTTGCAGCTGAGGGCGTTCGATGTCATGCCTGAAAAACTGCGGCCAAACATTCCAGTCAAGGGTTTGAGCTGATGGCATACATGTCCGAGCGCCTTCCGGTGCATCTCCTGCCACACGCATGCCCAACTGACCAGAAAAGGTAATTGCTTGTCTCCAATGCGTCGTTGCTTGCGCCGGTGCATTCGAAGAAGCACCTGGCGAACTTTCGCCCACCAATTAATGATTTGTTCACGCAGAGGCACATCCCTGAACGTCATGGCCTGCCGCGCCAACTCTGGTGGGTGCTCTTTGGCGCCGTCTTCAACTCGTGTGGGCCCGTTTGGGGCGCCTCTTGTGCCGCCCTGGCCCCCCCGAGGAGGCCTCTGAAGCCGTCTTGGGGCGGACAGGCGCGATGGCGAAGCTCATTCGCAAACCTCGGGGATCTGAAACATGTTGCTTCGCGGGGCCATAGAGAGAGGAGTGCGGTTGGAGGCCTCTCGGGGCGACCTGGAAGCCTCCCAGCATTCTCGAGGAACTGTTAGGGGTCTTGGAGCAAGTTTTGGCGACTCTGGGCTCTCTGAGTCTCTTGCCTGGGTATTCATAATCCCTGCAAGATATTCCGACAATATATCATGGCCAGTGGGCTCCGCAGATGACATGGGTAAGAAGGGATCGTGCCGTCAAGCACATCCTGAGGTAACATTGATGGGAGGAGGCCGGCCCGCCGGCCGACGCACGCGCGCGCGCCGCAGGCTCGCTCCTTCTCCGTTGCCCTAAAGCCAAAGCAGTATAGCTGCGAAAGCAGAAGTAATCAGTCAGCACAGCAGGCAGGCACCGCGCTCAAGGAGAGAGAGCAGGCAAGGCGAAATATTGGTGGTGCGCGGAAGGGGTGCGTTGACTCCCCCCGCGGCGGGTCCGTAGAGCCGCCCCGACCCCCCAACCCACCTGGCCTGCGCGCATGCACGGCCGCCGGAGCGAACCC